TCCTCGTCCTCGTCCTCGTCCTCCTCGTCCTCCTCCTCCTCCTCCTCCTCCTCCTCCTTCTCCTCCCTCCTGCTGCCCCTCCCCTGCCTCGCGAGGGGTGCCATGGCCTGCCAGTGGAAGAGCCGAGGCCGTCCTTCCGCCACGAAGGTCACCGGGTCCTTGGGGCAACGGGTCCTGGGCCCCAGTTCTGTGGCAACTCGTTGTTGGCATTTTGTCGCTGCGTCGGATCCCAAGGTAAATCGGATCCCAGGGTGAAAACAGTGAGGTTTCGGTACTTTCTTGGTGATCGAAAGTCTTTCTTGTGATCAAGGCTAAATTAGGTTGGGACATCATAACTCGCGATGCCCCTTCTCTTCGCTCGCTTCCACCTCTCCAGGCCCTCCCGGCCTGAGACGAAGCCACGAGGAGGCTAAACATCGGGGGAGGCTACCCTGAGATCCTGGCGTCTCAACTTTTTCGAGCCCGGCGTTTTCGCTGTTTTTCGGGCCCCCGGGACCCTCACATATCGATTCGGCTCAGAGAATGATGCAGAAAGATGGGGTCTAGGGCTCCAGGCGTGCTTTTCTACCATTTTGCCATTTTGTCGCTGCGTCGGATCCCGGGGTAAATCGAGACTCTCTGAGACCCTGCGGCTCTGGAGGATGTCTCGGGCGACCCGCGGCCTTCTCAGAGCGTTCTGTAACTGGGCGGCGAGCGAGAAGGGGAAGTGAGAAGGAGGAGGCCTGCTCAGAAGGCTCGGAAGTCCGCCGGTCTTCTGCGAAGTTTTCCAAGCCTTCCCCGAAGACAGGGAAAACATCTCAGAAGGCGCGAGGGTTTCTGAGAAGTCCCGCCGCCTTCTGAGAAGACCTTCTCCTTCTCATTTCCCCCCTCAGGCAACTCATGGGAGCCTCCCATACCATCTTGTCGGCTCTTGCGAATCGGCGCTGATCGACCCTAGCCGACGATAATCGACGCTAAACCGATGCTAAATCGGCGCTATCCCATCGACTCCAAGACGCTAATCGACGATAGCTGACGCTAAAGACAAAATTGCGAGGATGCACAAGGCTCCCATGATTTGCTACCGAACCCTGGGGCTTGGCCCTGGTCCAGCTCCTCATCCCGAACCGTCTCTCGACGGTCCTGGGGGCCCGTGGGGGGCCAGGGGCGCTCGGACACCAGGACGCGTTTCCTTCGTGTGAAGCCTCGGGCACGTCTCTTCTCCCACGGCGATGACGGCCGGCGGATCCTCCTCCGACTCTGTCCGAGCCTCCCGCCTTGCCGGAAGCAGCGGCCACTAGCAGCAGCACAGTGCAACGCGTTGCTTCGCCCACGCGCCATTGAGCGTGTGGCTTCTTGACCCCTTCGTCTTACGACTCGGAGCAAGCCCTTCCTGGAGAGCGTTTTTGTTTGTCCCTGGGCGATGGCGGGCGTCGCGGGCGGGGGGGCTGCGAGGGGGCCGGTAACGTCACGATTCGCTCTCGAGCCGTCTGGGAATTACCGAATTAACCCTAGCCGTTCCCAAACGGCGCCGGCGCGAACCGTGGCGTTGCCAGGTGCGGGGGGGGGCCCAGCGCCAACCCAAGAAACACGCTCGGACCTCCGAAAGCACATGTCGGGGCTGTGTCTTCTTCCATGAGATGTGCCGCGGCGGGTCGGGTCCTCTGGCGGGTGCGGAACACGAGCGGCCGGTTGTGTATGGCCTCGAGGATTGACAGAATCCCCTCTAGCAGAACGCCCTTTAGCGAAAGCTGCTGGGGCGGGCACTCCACGGGTCCGCGCGGCACCGCATTCTGAATGCACATGGGCGAACTCACGAATCGACGTCCGAAAGCAACGGAATGTATCTAGCGAGACGTACGTCGAATAGCGAAACCGACCAGGGACTGCACCAGCACACTCGTGTGCCAATGTCGAAGAAGCCCGTGCAAACTTCCTCTGGGTGGGCGTTCTCGAAGATCCAACGTCGTGTTGTTTTGCAATACGGGGTCACGCGAAGTCCCGACACATTCCGTGGGACTGGTTTTTCATCCTGAGTCGCTTTTTGACGGCCCCAGGGCCTGGCAAAAGCCCCTAGAAGCCGAAAACGGCGCAAAACCTCTGCCATGATTTTCTCAACACGTTGGATCTCTTGGTGCTCTCGTAGAGGCCTCCTAGATGGGGTAGGAGTTGATGGGATCAGAGGATCGCGCCGCATCGCCGATAAATCGGCGATGCATCGGCGATACACCAGCGATGCACCGGCGATGCATCGCCGACGTGGGCGATGCATCGGCGACGCCGACGGGAAGCAGATCGAGCTCCGCATCAAGCAGCATCGGCGATACATCGGCGATGCGGCGCGATCCTCCGACCCCATCTACTCTGGCCCCATCTGGGAGGCCTAGAAGTATTTTCTCAACACCTTGGATCTCTGGGTGCTCTCGAGGCCCGACGGCCTCTGGGCTGTACAGGTTCTGCGGGTCCAGCAGCGGGCTGCCGCCCGGGAGCTCCACGGTGAGCCAGCCCACCTCGCCCGAGTCCGTGCGGACCTCCGCCCGCAGGCGGGGCTCGCCCGCCTCCTGCGCGGCAGGGGTGCTCCTCCGGAGGGGGCTGAGAACCTCGCGATGCAGGCGGAGGAGGAGAAGGAGGAGGAGGAGGAGGAGGAAGAAAGGAGGAGGAGGAGGAGGAAGAGAGGAGGAGGAGGAGGAGGAGGAGGAGGAGGAGGAGGAGGAGGAGCAGGAGGAGGAGGAGGACCAGGAGGTCGAGGAGGCGGGGTCAGGGTTGGGGGGGGGGGGCATAACGCGCGCTATGGCCCAGACTAAAGCCATAAATCTTGGGAGGCCTGGACCCTCGACCAGGGAGGGTAGGGAGGCCCTGTCACATGGGCGCACGGGCGGAGACCGCGGCCCGCTCGGGGGCTGCTCGCTTCCGCCTCGTCGGGTCCCTCCCGGTCTGTGGGGCGGAGAGCATCGCGATTCATGTTGCTCCCGTCGTACTCAAGGTGGACCAGCGAACAGACGACACCACCCCACCTACGGCACCAGGGGCCTTAGCATATACCAGGAATTCTGGCGTGTGTTTGGTGGTAGACGCTACGACGCCTGATGGGCCGTAGCGCAGCATGGAAGGCCGTAAGTGGGGTGGTGTCGTTTGGTTGTCGGTCGATAAAGATCACGTCATAATTTCGAGCACACGAAAAAATATCGAAACAAAGTCGAACGAATATCGCCTCCCGGGACCCGACACGTGAAAACCCTCAGGCTTCGGTACTTTCCTGGTGCTCGAAATCCTATCAAGGCTACACTAGGTTGGAACATCATAACTCGCGATGCCCCTTCTCTTCGCTCGCTTCCACCTCTTCAGGCCGTCCCAGCCTGAGACGAAGCCACGACGAGGCTAAACATCGGGGGAGGCTACCCTGAGATCCAGGCGTCTCAACTTTTTCGAGCCCTTCTCAGAAGGCTCGGAAGTCCGCCGGTCTTCTGCGAAGTTCTCCAAGCCTTCCCCGAAGACAGGGAAAACATCTCAGAAGGTGCGAGGGCTTCTGAGAAGTCCCGCCGCCTTCTGAGAAGACCTTCTCCTTCTCGTTTCCCCACCTCGGGCAACTCATGGGAGCCTCCCATACCATCTTGTCGGCTCTTGCGAATCGGCGCTGATCGACCCTAGCCGACGCTAATCGGCACTAAACCGATTCCGAATCGGCGCTAAGTCGGCGCACGCCGACGCTACATCGGCACATCTAATCGACTCTTCGACGTTCATCGACGTTCATCGACGCTAATGACGAAATTCGGAAGATATACCAAGACCCCCGACGTCGTGATTGTTTCAGAACATCGACCCCCAGAGGTCTGGACCCCTTCCCCGCGACCAATTTTTCGTTCAGAATCGTTTTGTTGACGGTCCCGAGCCCCAGTAAGGGCCCCCGGAAGCAGAAAAGATAGATAAACCTCCTGTCGTGAGTTCTGTCACAGCGCGAGCAGGTCTGGGTACGAGGTTCCCATGATTAGCAACCCAACCCCAGGTATCGAGTAGGGGATCGACTGCAAAATTGGTTCACCTCATAATGAAATTGCTTGGACGAAAGAAACGTAGATCGTTCGTAGATCTACAACAAATGTACGTATTTTCGTAAAGCCGACTGAAAAAAAAAACAAGTCTGGGGTACCCATCGGTCGGAAGGAGTAGGTAGAAACATGAAGAAGGAAGGCGTTGGAAGTAGATTGGGTCTCCGCCCGCCCACCGAAGAGGAGGGAAGAGGGGAAGCCACTCGATCATTGAAGTAGGAAGGCGCTTACAGTAGTAAATCGATTCTGGGGTAAATCACCACGCCCGAGTTTCTGCTTCTCTGGGGGCCCTCTCTGGGCCCTCTCCTCGCCACGATGAGGCCCGCCTTTTTTGCACCCTGGCCAGGAGTCGCCCCATAGGAGAGGTCGGGGAGGAGGAGGAGGACTTGAGGAGGAGGAGGAGGAGGAGGAGGAGGAGGAAAAGGAGGAGGATGAGGAGGATGAGGAGGAAGAGGAGGGAGGAGGAGAAGGAGGAGGAGAAGGATGAGGAGGAGGAGGAGGAGGGGGAGGAGGAGGGGGGAGTAGTAGAATGAAGGAGGGGGAGGAGTCTAGCGGTGTCGTTTCTTGTTCCCCGGCCGCCCCCTGGGTGAGGTGCTCGAGGAGCAGAAGCCGTCGTGCCACGGCGTCTGCATGTGCAGCCCCAGGGTCAGCACCAACACCTCCTCTCCCTTGCGCGTCTCGCGCATTTCCGGGCTGTCGAGCTCGATGCCCTCCCGGAGGGCGAGGTTCCCCGTCACGCGGTAGCGCCCGCCGACCTCCCAGCTGCTCCTGCAGCGCTGCCTCAGAGCGATCGCTCCTCCTCGGTGGTCCGTGTCCGGGCCGGAGAGCTGCGCCCACCCGTACAGCCAGCCCGCGCGAGACGTGTCCGCCAAGAAGCCGAGCACCACCTCTGAGGGGCAACGACAGGGGGGGATAGGGTTGGGGGGGGAAGGAAACATCGACCTGGAATCGGCGATACATCGCCGATCGATCTGAGGTAGGCCTCCGATAGTGAATCCGCACCTTCCTGGGCAGGTCGGGGCCATCGGGCCACTATCTGCCATTAATGGGCGATTGGGGGCGATGCACACCCCCTATGCTCATGTTGTTCCCATCGCACTTAAAGACCACATCCCAGAAATAATTTCGAGCACCCGGAACAGTGTCGAAACAGTCTCGAAACAGTGTCGGACGAGTGTCTCCCAGGGCCCGACACGTGAAAACCCTTGAGCTTAGGTACTTGTTGGTGCTCGGAATTCTTTATGGTGCAAGGCTAAAGTAGGTTGGAACATCATAACCCTATGCCACCCCCCCCTTGTTATTGCCCGCGAACCTCGTCGGTCACGAGTTCGTTGGTGGATGCCCTGACCGAGCTACGGTGCAGCGCCAGGAGCAGCACGAGCCGCTTCGCGGGCAGCTTCCCCACGATGGCCTCGCTCTCCGTGCTGGGGCCGCGGAGGGTGGCCTCACGCAGCAGCTCGTAGCGCCCGCCCACCACCCAATCGGGCTCCTCAGAGATCCGATGTCGTGATTTGAACAGGGACCGACGGTCCCCGCATTCCTGTAGGCCTACCACGAGACGTTCTTAGAATCCAGAAATGTTCTAAGAACCAACCAAAGCTCTCAGAACATAAGACCGACGCATTGAAACAAGACAGCCTCAGCCAGACATGTTCTAAGAACATGTCTGCAGACCACAAAAGGTTCTTAGGATATATGTTTGACGGCCTATAGGCTAACCAGGACGCTTCGCCGCTGTTAGATATTTGTTTTCAATACGGGGCCCTGGGAAGTCGCGACCCATCCCCCGGGGACTGGCGTTTCATCGCGACTCGTCTTGTTGACGGCCCCGCGGGGCCCGGCAAAGGCCCCTAAACAGAGGCCGAGAGCGGCGAAGAACACCTCCGCCATGACTCCCTCCGTGCGTTGGCTCTCCGGGTCCTCCGCCAGGCATTGCTGCGGCTTGGCGAGGCCTGCGACGCTCGTGCTCGTGGCCGCCAGCCCCGGGCGCAGCTTGCCGAGGAGCCGCGCTGCCATGCCCCCCCCCGGGCCGCGGGGAGGTCGCGCGCACTGGCGCCCGGCAGGCGGTTAGCCTCGGCCAGCAGCCTGGGCCGGCTCGACCCGCGGAGGAGGCGCAACCAGCTTTCCCACGCTGCGTCCTCCTCCTCCTGCTCCCTCCTCCTCCTCCCTCCTCCGCTTCCTCCTCCGCCTCCTCCTCCTCCTCCTCATCTTCCTCCTCCATGGACCTCATGTTACCCATTGCTCCTGGGCCGTCATCGGCGGTTTTTGGCGGTCTTCGGGTGGTCTTCGGCGGTCTTCAGCGGTCTTCCGAAGGTCTTCGGCGGTTTCCAGCGGTCTTTGGCGGTTTCCGGCGGTCTTCGGCGTGAAAGCTGCATGGCTGCGTTCAAGAAGGGGTTCATAAAGAAACGCCTACAGTCGGCCCGTATCAGAAGGATGCGCAACAAGGACGCACGGGCCTTGCAAGCCCATCTCGACGCTTTCGGGCTGAGCGCGGCCAGCGAAACTGGCCAAGGATGGACCGAGGAGGTAAGGATGCAAAGCTCCGTGGGCGCTTCAATTGGGGAGCTTGGGGGAGGAGGAGGAGGAGGAGGAGGAGGAGGAGGAGGAGGAGGAGGGTGGAGGAGGAGGGGGAGGTGGAAGGAGGCGGAGGAGGAGGAGGAGGAGGACGAGGAGGACCAAGTGGACTGTAACCCACGTGCTCCCCAGTTGCTTTCCCAGGTGAGCCTCCCAAAATACACTGCGTGGCGCGCGCCGCTCGCCAGTCGCCCCGACGCCTCGCCCAACTCTTCCAAGACAGCGTCCAACACAGTGGAGGCCAGTCCACAAGAAACCTTCCACAAGAACCCCGATCCTGAGACCCCAGGGCGTCCAGTGACTTTTGGTGTGGGGACGTGACGCTTTCCACAGCCAAGCCATCAAAAGCCAATCAACCCAGGGCACCCTGGAGGCAAGCAGAGTGTTTCTTGGCATGGGTTCCCGCTGTATGTTCATCAGGCCTCGCAGACGACCCGAGAGGCTCCAGGAAAGGTTCCATGAGTTCCCAGGAGAAAATTCAGACTGCAAAAAACCGTTGCAACACAATTCCTTTTGACTTTCTGCTCTGGACGGCCAGGCGACGATGACGTGCCAGCGACACCGAAGACGCTCACGTACAGCGGCGTGGGACGACGTCCTACGACGACGACGACGACGACGACGACGACAACGTGAGCGGACGTGAGACGACGCGGGACGATGATGACGACGTCAGCGTACGACGACGGGGACGACGCCAGAGGACCATGACGTGCGAGTTGTAAACACCTCGAGAAATCTGGCCACTAAGGAGGGATAAGGGCAAATCCGCTCAAGATCGGTCCCTGAACCCCTCCTAGGGTCCATCTGGTGTAAGCTTTCACCCCGCATCCGTTGTTGCGGTCCTGGGGCTCGAATCGAACCTGCCCCCCCTTCCTGCTGTCTAGATTCAGTGTCGGCCACCTCAGACCCCCAACTGACTCGAACGTGCGAGGACGGCGCGAGGACGGCGTCGACCCGCGGACGGTTGGTGGCTTTTGGGTCCCAACTCGGTTCTCCAGAGGCCGTTCGAAGCTCGCAAAGCAAAGCGCGTTTCCACTACTCGCAAAGCAACTACTCTTAGGTTGGGTATGTCCCCCTACAGGCGGATTTTGAATGAAAAATAAAAAATACCCCAAACATGCTCAATACTACTCAAACAATGGTCAAAAAATCGTCTCGAGACTATTTTTAGACGAATGTTGGATATTCCTCCTGTAGAGGGGCAGGCTCGACTTAAAACTGCTCGCAAATGTCCTGGATCCGCCGTGGGGGATGTACGATCCATTACATACAGAGCAAGCCATTGGTCTCCCGGACGTTTGCGAGCAGGCACTCTACGAGTCGTGGAACGCGCTCGGCGAAGGGCGATCCAGAGCCCCTAGAGAGCGAGCTCCGATCCGCGCACCTCGGCGGCCGAAGACGTCGAGCCCCGAACGGCGTCATTACATCGAGCAAGCCATTGGTCTCTCGGACGTTTGCGAGTAGGCACTTTGCGAGTAGTGGCACGCGCTCGGCGAAGGCGATTCAAAGCCCCTAGAGAGCGAGCTCCGATCCGCGCACCTCGGCGGCCGAAGACGTCGAGCCTCGAACGGCGTCATTACATCGAGCAAGACATGTGTCTCTCGGACGTTTGCGAGTAGGCACTTTAAGAATAGTGGCACGCGCTCGGCGAAGGCGATTCAAAGCCCCTAGAGTGCGAGCTCCGATCCGCGCACCTCGGCGGCCGAAGACGTCGAGCCTCTAACGGCGTCATTACATCGAGCAAGACATGAGTCTCTCGGACGTTTGCGAGGTATGCACTTTTGGCGATTAGTGGCAACGCGCTCGGCGAAAGGCGAATTCCAAGCCCTAGAGAGCGAGCTCCGATCCGCGCCCCTCGGGCGGCCGAGACGTCCGAGACGTCGAGCCTCGAACTGCGTCATTACATCGAGCAGAACATGTGTCTCTCGGACGTTTGCGAGTAGGCACTTTCGATATGGCACGCGCTCGGCGGAAGGCGATTCAAAGCCCCCCAGAGAGCGAGCCTCCGATCCGCGCACCTCGGCGGCCGAAGACGCGAGCCTCGAACGCGTCATTAACAATCGACAAGCCAGTGCTCTCGGACTTTTGCCGAGTAGGCACTTTGCGAGTATTGGCATACGCGCTCGTCGAAGGCGTATTCCAAAGCCCCTAGAGATCGAGCTCCGATCCGCGCACCTCGGCGGCCGAAGACGTCGAGCCTCGAACGGCGTCATTACATCGAGCAAGCCATGGGTCTCTCGGACGTTTGCGAGTAGGCACTTTGCGAGTAGTGGCACGCGCTCGGCGAAGGCGATTCAAAGCCCCTAGAGAGCGAGCTCCGATCCGCGCACCTCGGCGGCCGAAGACGTCGAGCCTCGAACGGCGTCATTACATCGAGCAAGCCATTGGTCTCTCGGACGTTTGCGAGTAGGCACTTTGCGAGTAGTGGCACGCGCTCGGCGAAGGGCGATCCAGAGCCCCTAGAAAGCGAGCTCCGTTCCGCGCACCTCGGCGGCCGAAGACGTCGAGCCTCGGACGGCGTCATTACATCGAGCAAGACATGTGTCTCTCGGACGTTTGCGAGTAGGCACTTTAAGAATAGTGGCACGCGCTCGACGAAGGCGATTCAAAGCCCCTAGAGAGCGAGCTCCGATCCGCGCACCTCGGCGGCCGAAGACGTCGAGCCTTGAACGGCGTCATTACATCGAGCAAGACATGTGTCTCTCGGACGTTGCGATTAGGCACTTAAGAATATTGGCACGCGCTCGGCGAAGGGCGATTCAAAGCCATAGAGTGCGAGCTCCGCATCCGCGCACCTCGGCGGCCGAAGACGTCGAGCCTCGAACGGCCGTCATTTCGAGGCAGACACATGTTCTCTCGACGTTTGCGAGTAGGCACTTTGCGAGTAGTGGCACGCGCTCGGCGAAGGCGATTCAAAGCCCCTAGAGAGCGAGCTCCGATCCGCGCACCTCGGCGGCCGAAGACGTCGAGCCTCTAACGGCGTCATTACATCGAGCAAGACATGTGTCTCTCGGACGTTTGCGAGTAGGCACTTTGCGAATAGTGGCACGCGCTCGGCGAAGGCGATTCAAAGCCCCTAGAGAGCGAGCTCCGATCCGCGCACCTCGGCGGCCGAAGACGTCGAGCCTCGAACGGCGTCATTACATCGAGCAAGACATGTGTCTCTCGGACGTTTGCGAGTAGGCACTTTAAGAATAGTGGCACGCGCTCGACGAAGGCGATTCAAAGCCCCTAGAGAGCGAGCTCCGATCCGCGCACCTCGGCGGCCGAAGACGTCGAGCCTTGAACGGCGTCATTACATCGAGCAAGACATGTGTCTCTCGGACGTTTGCGAGTAGGCACTTTAAGAATAGTGGCACGCGCTCGGCGAAGGCGATTCAAAGCCCCTAGAGAGCGAGCTCCGATCCGCGCACCTCGGCGGCCGAAGACGTCGAGCCTCGAACGGCGTCATTACATCGAGTAAGACATGTGTCTCTCGGACGTTTGCGAGTAGGCACTTTGCGAGTAGTGGCACGCGCTCGGCGAAGGCGATTCAAAGCCCCTAGAGAGCGAGCTCCGATCCGCGCACCTCGGCGGCTGAAGACGTCGAGCCTCGAACGGCGTCATTACATCGAGCAAGACATGTGTCTCTCGGACGTTTGCGAGTAGGCACTTTAAGAATAGTGGCACGCGCTCGGCGAAGGCGATTCAAAGCCCCTAGAGAGCGAGCTCCGATCCGCGCACCTCGGCGGCCGAAGACGTCGAGCCTCGAACGGCGTCGTTACATCGAGCAAGCCATTGGTCTCTCGGACGTTTGCGAGTAGGCACTTTGCGAGTAGTGGCACGCGCTCGGCGAAGGGCGATCCAGAGCCCCTAGAAAGCGAGCTCCGTTCCGCGCACCTCGGCGGCCGAAGACGTCGAGCCTCGAACGGCGGAGTGCCCGAGGCCCACGACGACGCCACGGCCAGGAGAGCCCAGGATCGAATCGATAAATCGGATCGGCGATCGGAATGGATCGGATCGGCGAACATCGGCACCCGAGCCGGGAAAAGTCGAATCGGCAGAAACATCGACAGGCCAGTATGCCTCCAGTGAGAGAGCCCAGAGCGGAATCCCAAGCCGAATCTGGTCGGAATCGGAAGCCATCGAAATCGAGTCGAATCGCATCGGAAGAATCGAACCCAAAGATCCGATGTCTTTATTTTTCACTATGGGGCCCCCAGAAGCCTCGACCATCCCCGGGACCAGGCTTCCATCCTTCTTCACGACGTTGCACCTCTGGGACACGCACCCTCCACAGCGCCACGGCCTCGCGGCTGGGGCGACCTCGCCGCGGCCGCGGCCCTGCCCGTGCGCCGAGGGCCCGCGCCCCCGCGCGCCGCTCCGCCGGCGGCCTGGCGGCGGGCGCCCGGCGGCGAAGGACGTCGCCGAGGCCGCAGCCGCCGAGGCCCGCGCCGTCGCCGTCGCCGTCGCCGTCGCCGTCGTCGTCGTCGTCGTCGTCGTCCTTGCCATGTTCGTGGCAGTCTCGGTCATGGTCGTC